CGGTCTGGTCTCGGTCTGGTCACGGTCTCGGTCTGGTCTCGGTCTGGTCTCGGTCTGGTCTGGTCCTGGTCTCGGTCTGGTCCCAGTCTGGTCTCGGTCTCAGTCTGGTTCTGGTCTCGGTCTCGGTCTGGTCTCGGTCTCGGTCTGGTCCCGGTCTGGTCTGGTCCTGGTCTGGTCTCGGTCTGGTCTCGGTCTCGATCAGGTCTCGGTCTGGTCTCGGTCTGGTCTGGTCCTGGTCTGGTCTCGGTCTGGTCTCGGTCTCGATCAGGTCTCGGTCTGGTCCCGGTCTGGTCCTGGTCTGGTCCTGGTCTAGGCTCCTCCTCTTGCGCCCTCTGGTGGTTTTTACTTTATTTACTTTTCCACAGTTGTTGTTGTTTTTTCGTTCTGCTGCCTCCTGCTCTGTGTGTGTGTGTGTGTGTGTGTGTGTGTCTCTGTGTGTGTGTGTGTGTGTGTGTGTGTGTGTGTGTGTGTGTGTGTGTGTGTGTGTCTCTGTGTGTGTGTGTGTGTGTGTGTGTATGTGTGTGTGTGTGTGTGTGTCTGTGTCTGTGTCTGTGTGTGTTGTGTGTGTGTGTGTGTGTGTGTGTATGTGTGTGTGTGTGTGTGTGTGTGTGTGTATGTGTGTGTGTGTGTGTGTCTGTGTCTCGTGTGTGTGTGTGTGTGTGTGTGTGTGTGTGTGTGTGTGTGTGTGTGTGTGTGTAGTGTGTGTGTGTGTGTGTGTGTGTGTGTGTCTGTGTGTGTCTGTGTGTGTGTGTGTGTGTGTGTGTGTGTGTCTGTGTCTGTGTGTGTGTGTGTGTGTGTGTGTGTGTGTGTGTCTCTGTGTGTGTGTGTGTGTGTGTGTCTCTGTGTTGTCTGTGTGTGTGTGTGTGTGTGTGTGTATGTGTGTGTGTGTGTGTGTGTGTGTGTGTGTGTGTGTGTGTGTGTGTGTGTGTGTGTGTGTGTGTGTGTGTGTGTGTGTGTGTGTGTGTGTGTGTGTGTGTGTGTGTGTATTGTGTGTGTGTGTGTGTGTGTGTGTGTGTGTGTGTGTAGTGTGTGTGTGTGTATGTGTGTGTGTGTGTGTGTGTGTGTGTGTGTGTGTGTCTGTGTGTGTGTGTGTGTGTGTGTGTGTGTGTGTGTATAGTGTGTGTGTGTGGAGACCTCTGGTGGTCATGTGTGAGAGCTGCAGTCTTTGTCTCCACAGGAAACATCTAGAGTAAATGTATCTTTGTATCATATTGACCCTTTGTCCTGCTGCTTCAGGAGGTTCAGTCTGTGGATCAGGTTCAGGTTCAGGTTCAGGTTCAGGTTCAGGTCCAGAGGTTCTGGGTTTGAGTTTCACTTCTGCACAGATTTTAGTGTTTGTGAAGTGAACGACGTCACTTTTCATTGTGACGTGAGAAAACAAACTCCTGTTCTGTTCTGGTTCTGGTCTTGGTCCTGGTCTTGGTCCTGGTCCTGGTCCTGGTCCTGGTCTTGGTCCTGGTCTTGGTCCTGGTCTGGTCTGGTCTGGTCTCCTGGTCTTGGTCCTGGTCTTGGTCCTGGTCTTGGTCTTGGTCCTGGTTGGTCCTGGTCTTGGTCCTGGTCTTGGTCCTGGTCCTGGTCTTGGTCTTGGTCCTGGTCTTGGTCTGGTCTTGGTCTGGTCTGGTCCTGGTCTTGGTCCTGGTCCTGGTCTGGTCTGGTCTTGGTCTGGTCCTGGTCCTTGGTCTGGTCTTGGTCTTGGTCTTGGTCCTGGTTCTGGTCCTGGTCTTGGTCCTGGTCTTAGGTCCTGGTCTTGGTCCTGGTCTTGGTCCTGGTCTGGTCTGGTCTTGGTCTTGGTCCTTGGTCCTGGTCTTGGTCCTGGTCTTGGTCCTGTTCTTCTGCTCACAGACGAGTCACACTCAGGTTTTCTTCTCACATTTGGAGTCTCAGGTTCAGGTCCGTGTGGCTCTGGAGGTCGAGCGTTAAGTCTGGACTTTCTCACCTGTTTTCCAGAGGTTCCTGCTTCGGTTCGATTCCCGGTTCGATTCCCGCTTCTGCTCTTCACTCTGAACATGAATTTTGACTAAAGTGTTTTTCTAATGTTCAGCTGAAGAGTAAAAGTTGAGGTTAGAACTCAGAACCTCAGAACCTCTGAACCTCTGTGAGTGTTTGTGTTTAAACCTCTGGACCACACAGACTCTCAGGTCTGACTCGAGTTTTCACATTTAAAGAGTTTTTACACTAAAGTTTAAAGTTTAAAGTGAAGTGTTTCTGAAGCGTTTGAAGGTTTTTCTTCAGTTCCCTGTGGCTCAGGAGTCGAGCTCTGTGTTGTTGAATTGTCAGGACCTGTGCAGGAGGTTCGGTGTTCGATTCCTTCCTCAAACCGTCCATCAGTTGGTGCCAGGTTCTGAGTTCGTGATTTGGAGAGAAAGAAACCACAGACCTGATGTCAGGACGTCTCCACTTCACACAAAGACAATTTTTACAAAACAAACGTAAAAATATTTCATGTTTTTTGCTCAAGTTGAGTCTCCATGTCAGACCCGAGGGACAGAGTCTGGACTTGAACTCAGAGTCTCAGAAGAGGCTGGTCTTCTTCAGGAGTCTGGGTCTTAACCTCTGGACCATCCGGACTCAGGTCCAGGTCTGTCTGGATCTTTTACTGTCAGACAGTTTGGATTCTGGGACAGTTTAATGTTTTATTCTCACTTTTGTAGAGTTTAATTAGTTTCTTCGCGGCTCAGGAGGTCGAGCGCTCAGCTGGAACAGATCTCCCTCTTACTCATAGGTTCTTGGTTCAAGTCCCACAGAGTCCGAACTGAACCAGACCTGAACCAGGACTAACCCTGGACTCAGAGGAAATCTTTTAACTGTTTCTAAAGTTCAGCTGCAACGTTAAAGACGAGAGTTAAACTCACAACCTCAGAACAGACGTGAGAGCGTCACACGTCACACGTCACTGTCTAAACCTCTGAGCCACAGTACGGCTCGCGCAGGCTCGCGCGCTCGCGCAGGCTCGCGCAGGCTCGCGCAGGCTCGCGCAGGCTCGCGCAGGCTCGCGCAGGCTCGCGCGGCTCGCGCAGGCTCGCGTGGACCAAAACTCTCATGACAAACTGTTTTGTTTCATAAAGTTGAGCTGCAGCGTTTAAGGTCAGAGTTGAACTCACAACCTCAGAACAAACAACTCGAAGATCTGTGTTTGTGCCTCTGAACCACACTCAGGTCACACTCAGGTCACACTCAGGTCACACTCAGGTCACACTCAGGTCACACTCAGGTCACACACACACACTCGGGTCACGCTCGGGTCACGCTCGGGTCACGCTCGGGTCACACTCGGGTCATGTGTGAGTTATTTTACATTTACACTCGTGGAGTTTCAGTTCAGTTTAATGTTTCATCTGTTTTTTGTTTTTCAGTGACCACAACTACACAGAACATGTGACCAACAGAACCCGGCCTGCCTGGACCCGGCCTGGACCCGGCCTGGACCCGGCCTGGACCCGGCCTGGACTCGGTCTGTGGTCTGAAGGACAGACGAGGCGCTGAAGTTCCTTTGTGCTTTATTTACACCAGAATCAGAATCACAACAAACAAACAAACAAACAAACGGCTTCAGTGACGACTACAGGCTACAAAAGGCTGTACAGGGGTCAGAGGTCAGGGGTCGGGGGGGTCAGGGGTCAGAGTGTGCTTGTTCCTCGGGCTGCGTTACTCACACCCTCAGAGGAGAGACAGCCAATGGGAGCAGCCCGTGCTCTGGGGGCGGAGCCAGTGTGCTTATGTTTAGGGTCAAAGGTCAGAGGGGGTCAGGGGTCAGAGGAGGGGGGTGTACACTGTAAAAAATAACCAGGTGGATGTGTCGCTCTCAGGTGCAGGTTCTACGCCTCCTATTGGTCCAACAGTTCAGAGGGCGGGGCCAGGTGTGTACAGAGGGAGGGGCCAGGTGTGTACAGAGGGAGGGGCCAGGTGTGTACAGAGGGAGGGGCCAGGTGTGTACAGAGGGAGGGGCCAGGTGTGTACAGAGGGAGGGGCCAGGTGTGTACAGAGGGAGGGCCAGGTGTGTCCAGAGAGGGAGGGGCCAGGTGTGCAGAGGGAGGGGCCAGGGTGTGCAGAGGGAGGGGCCAGGTGTGTACAGAGGGAGGGCAGGTGGGAGGGAGGGCCAGGTGTGTACAAAGGGAGGGGCCAGGTGTGTACAAGGGAGGGGCCAGGTGTGTTACAGAGGGAGGGCCAGGTGTGTACAAAGGGAGGGCAGGTGGTACAGAGGAGGGGCCAAGGTGTGCAGAGGGAGGGGCCAGGTGTGTACAGAGGGAGGGGCCAGGTGTGTGCAGAGGGAGGGGCCAGGTGTGTGCAGAGGGAGGGGCCCAGGTGTGCAGAGGGAGGGGCAGGTGTGCAGAGGGAGGGCCAGGTGTGTACAGAGGGAGGGGCCAGGTGTGTTACAGAGGGGGCCAGTGTGTGCAGAGGGAGGGGCCAGGTGTGCAGAGGAGGGGCCAGTGTGTGCAGAGGGAGGGGCCAGGTGTGTACAGAGGGAGGGGCCAGGTGTGTACAGAGGGAGGGGCCAGGTGTGCAGAGGGAGGGCCAGGTGTGTGCAGAGGGAGGGGCCAGGTGTACAGAGGGAGGGGCCAGGTGTACAGAGGGAGGGGCCAGTGTGCAGAGGGAGGAGCCAGGTGTGTACAGAGGGAGGGGCCAGGTGTGTAGAGGGAGGAGCCAGGTGTGTACAGAGGGAGGAGCCAGGTGTGCAGAGGGAGGGGCCAGGTGTGCAGAGGGAGGAGCCAGGTGTGCAGAGGGAGGGGCCAGGTGTGTACAGAGGGAGGAGCCAGGTGTGTACAGAGGGAGGAGCCAGGTGTGTGCAGAGGGCGGAGTCTGTGTCTGGGGGCGGAGTCTGTGGAGCAGGTGAGGCTCAGGTGATGTTCAGGAGGAAGCGATTGTCAGAAATGAAAAAGTCTGAAGATGGACTGGGTTTAGTCGTGGTTTAGTTCTTAGAGAGTCCAAAATAAGGCCAGATCACCTTTAGTCCTGGTCCAGTCCTGGTTTAGGCCTGTTTCAGTTCTGTTTTGGTCCTAGTTTAGTCCTGGTGTAGTCCCGTTTTAGTCCCGGTTTAGTCCTGGTTCTGATACAAATGTTTAAAAAGTGCTGTCACTCGAGGAGGGCTCTAATTAGTCAGTGCCCGTCAAGGTGGGCTCTGATTGGTCAGTGCTCATCCAGGTGGGCTCTGATTGGTCAGTGCCCGTCAAGGTGGGCTCTGATTGGTCAGTGCTCATCCAGGTGGGCGGGCTCACAGAGGAAGCGTGAGCTGCGTTTGGCCGATCGTGCTGTGAACGGGACGCTCTTCAGGGCTGCAAAACAAACGTACGATTCAGAAAGAGCCACCTGACCCCGCCCCCTTCCCCTCAGGTGTATTTACCCACAACCCCCTAGCCCCGCCCCCTCTGTCTCAGGTGAGTCTTACCTGTGATGATGTCCTCGATGGCCCCGCCCCCTCCTCCTCAGGTGAGTCTTACCTGTGATGTCCTCGATAGCCCCACCCACTCCTCCTCAGGTGAGTCTTACCTCTGATGATGTCCTCGATGGCCCCGCCCACTCCTCCTCAGGTGAGTCTTACCTGTGATGATGTCCTGGCCCCGCCCCCCTCAGGTGAGTCTTACCTGTGATGATGTCCTCGATGGCCCCGCCCCCTCAGGTGAGTCTTACCTGTGATGATATCCTGGCCCCGCCCCCCTCAGGTGAGTCTTACCTGTGATGATATCCTGGCCCCACTCCTCTCAGGTGAGTCTTACCTGTGATGATGTCCTCGATGGCCCCGCCCCCTCAGGTGAGTCTTACCTGTGATGATATCCTGGCCCCACTCCTCTCAGGTGAGTCTTACCTGTGATGATGTCCTCGATGGCCCCGCCCCCTCAGGTGAGTCTTACCTGTGATGATGTCCTGGCCCCGCCCCCCTCAGGTGAGTCTTACCTGTGATGATGTCCTGGCCCCGCCCCCCTCAGGTGAGTCTTACCTGTGATGATGTCCTGGCCCCGCCCCCCTCAGGTGAGTCTTACCTGTGATGATGTCCTCGATGGCTCCGTCCTTTCCTTCGTACACGTGGCCTCGCTCTTTTCCTTGTTTTCGTCTCAGTTCTGTGATGAGCTCCTGCTGCTGCCGCTTCCCCCGAGACGGAGACTGAAACACACAGAACACACACCGGGTTTAGACCGGGTTTAGTCCTGGTTTAGTCCTGGTTTAGTCAAGTATAAGAGCACACAGAGGAGTATACACACATATAAACACATGGACCAGGGACTAAACCAGAACTAAACCGGGACTAAACCAGGATAAAGACACAAAGTTCTTCCATTTAATGTGAAAATCACAGGAGATTGTCTAAACAAAAATGGTTTTGAGTTTTGATATTATGAGTGTTCAAAAATATCGATATATCGTATCGTTTAATGTGATGATACCGTGTGGATATCGAGAGCTGCTGTATTGAGTATTTTTTTATATTTGATTACATTTTAGTTTAAATTTAGTTCCAGTTCCAGTTTTGTTGTTTGTTCAGAGGAAGGAAACTGGTTTATGCGTCACATTTGACATTTTCACTGTTTTGATGATTTAAATGTTTGTGTTTCATTTGAACTTTGAAGAATCAGTTTAACAAAATCTTTTAGTGTCACACACGTGATTTACACTTTATTTTTATTGAACCGTATTGAATCAGTTTGAAATATATGGAGTCAAAAGTTGACTGTATGGAGGCGTGTTTGTGTCAGGAGCTTCTGGATGATCTCAGCTCTGATGTTCTCGAGGTTGTGTCTGTTTTTGGTCTGTAAATGTGACAGGAGGAAAACGTCTGAGGAGTTTCTGTGACAGTTTAAAGTTCAAACAGAGACGATGATGGAGCTAAATGTTCTTCTGCCTCCAGCTCAAGGTTATTTGTACAAACTGAAGAAGTCCTCTCCTCCTTCTCTGGTCAGGGTTTGGGTCAGGTGTTCTCAGGGTCAGAGGTCAGGGGTCAGAGGTCAGGGACACAGGTCAGGGTCAGAGGTCAGTACCTTGGTCTCCTGTTGTTCTTCTTGTAGAAGTTGTTGTTCCTCGAGTTTCTCCAGAAGCATCTGCTCCTGACGCCGCCGAGCCTCGTTCTCCTCCTCCGCCAACTGAAAAACACACAGACTTTATCTCTCCATCCATCTGTGTATCCATCCATCATCTGTGTATCCATCCATCCATCTGTGTGTCCATCCATCCATCTGTGTATCCATCCATCCATCTCTCCATCCATCCATCCATCTGTGTATCCATCCATCCATCTGTGTGTCCATCCATCCATCTGTGTATCCATCTCTCCATCCATCATCTATTCAAAACTTTTATCAATATATTTATTCATTTATTCCATTGATCTGTGTCTCTATAAACCTGTGATCAATGTTCAACCATCCAGTATGAGGAGAAAGTACTGCAGTAATAGTACAGCAGTAGTACTAACAGTACTAACAGTAGTAGTAGTAATAGTAGTAGTAGTAGTAGTAGTAGTAGTAGTAGTAGTAGTAGTAGTAGTAGTAGTAGTAGTAGTAGTAGTAGTAGTACTGTAGTAGTAGTAGTAGTAGTAGTAGTAGTAGTAGTAGTAGTAGTACTGTAGTAGTAGTAGTAGTAGTAGTAGTAGTAGTAGTAGTAGTAGTAGTAGTAGTAGTAGTAGTAGTACTGTAGTAGTAGTAGTAGTAGTAGTAGTAGTAGTAGTAGTAGTAGTAGTAGTAGTAGTAGTAGTAGTAGTAGTAGTAGTAGTAGTAGTACTAGTAGTAGTAGTAGTAGTAGTAGTAGTAGTAGTAGTAGTAGTAGTAGTAGTACTGTAGTAGTAGTATTTCCTGACCCTGTAGGCTTTGATGAATCGCACAAAAATGGGGAAGAAAACAGACGGAGGCATCGTCTTTGAACTCTCCCCGAAAAACTTCACCACGTCCTCGAACGCATCCTGAAAACACACAAAAATCACACACATTTACAACACAAAAACACACACTTATAACACAAAAACACACAAAATGGTGATGTTCTTGTACCTGTGTGATCCTGGAGCTTCAGGAGTCTGGTCTTGTTAGTTGTGTAGGTTTGGTTTTGGTTTCTAGAGATGTTCTGCTGTGGTTGTGGTTGTGGTTGTGGTTGTGGTTGTGGGTTTAGGTGACATGTTTGTGGTGATGTTCTTGTACCTGTGTGATCCTGGAGCTTCTGGAGTCGGGTCTTGTTAGTTGTGTAGGTTTGGTTTTGGTTTCTAGAGGTGTTCTGCTGTGGTTGTGGTTGTGGTTCTGGTGTGGTTGTGGTTGTGGTTTGTGGTTCTGCTGTGGTTGTGGTTGTGGGTTTAGGTGACATGTTTGTGGTGATGTTCTTGTACCTGTGCGATCCGCGCGTCCTCCTGGAGCTTCTGGAGTCGGGTCTCGTTCCTGGAGATGAAGTCCTTGAGCGTGGCGTTGTGGCTGACGCTGAACTCTCTCCAGGTGAGCTCCATCCCCCTCTGCAGGTCCTTCACGTCTGACAGCACGTTCTCCAGGCTCACTGAAACGGTCAGATGCCCTCCCATGAGTGCGGCTCAGACTCTAGAATGTGATGATGTCAAACTATCATCTACTGTTCTCCTGTGTCAGATGCCCTACCATCCTCCTGAACATGATTGGTCTGTTTAAACGCTCCCTGCGCTCTGATTGGTCTGTTTAAACGCTCCCTGCTCTCTGATTGGTCTGTTTAAACGCTCCCTGCTCTCTGATTGGTCTGTTTAAACGCTCCCTGCTCTCTGATTGGTCTGTTTAAACGCTCCCTGCTCTCTGATTGGTCTGTTTAAACGCTCCCTGCCTCTGATTGGTCTAAACGCTCCCTGCTCTGATTGGTCTGTTTAAACGTCCCTGCCTGCTGCTCTCTGATTGGTCTGTTTAAACGCTCCCTGCTCTCTGATTGGTCTGTTTAAACGCTCCCTGCTCTCTGATTGGTCTGTTTAAACGCTCCCTGCTCTCTGATTGGTCTGTTTAAACGCTCCCTGCTCTCTGATTGGTCTGTTTAAACGCTCCCTGCTCTCTGATTGGTCTGTTTAAACGTTCCCTGCTCTCTGATTGGTTACCTGCGGCGGCCTTGTCCACGTAGTGCAGTTCGTTGTAAAATGGCGCCACCGTGGGGTATTTCTCCTGAACCACGTTGGAGATGTAGTGAAGAAGAGTCTGGGTCCGGTCTGTCGACTTGGTCTCCAACAACTGAGGACGCACAACACACAAGAGTACACAAAAAGTACACACAAGAGTACACACAAGAGTACACACAAAAGTACACACAAGAGTACACACACGAGTACACACAAGAGTACACACAAGATACAAGAGTACACACAAGAGTACACACAAAAGTACACACAAGAGTACACACGAGTACACAAGATACAAGAGTACACACAAGATACAAGAGTACACACAAGAGTACACACAAGAGTACACACAAGAGTACACACAACACACAAGAGTACACACAACACACAAGAGTACACACAAAAGTACACACAAGAGTACACACAAAAGTACACACAAGAGTACACACAAGATACAAGAGTACACACAAAAGTACACACAAGAGTACACACAAGAGTACACCACAAGAGTACACACAAAAAGTACACAACACACACAGTTACACAAGTACACACAAGAGTACACACACGAGTACACACAACACACAAGAGTACACACAAGATACGAGTACACAACACACAAGAGTACACACAAAAGTACACCAAGAGTACACACAAGAGTACACACAAGAGTACACACGAGTACACACACGAGTACACACAAGAGTACACACAAAAGTACACACACGAAGTACACACAAAAGTACACACAAGAGTACACACCAAAGTACACACAACACACAAGAACACAAGAGTACACACAAGAGTACACACAAGAGTACACACAACACACAAGAGTACACACAAGAGTACACACAAGATACAAGAGTACACACAAGATACAAGAGTACACACAAAAGTACACACAAGAGTACACACAAGAGTACACAAGAGTACACACGAGTACACACACGAGTACACACA